AATATGACTTAAAAACGATTGTTTTCTTGTATTATTTATTTTGTAAAGCAAGGTAAACCTTAGTAAACCGTTCTCAAGAAAAAGGAAAACTTAATATAAAATAACGTTCAAGAAACGGAAAATAAATTTTCTTCTAGCAAAATCCTTTTTCAAGTAACAGAACTAATAAAAAATATTTCTTCAGATTTTTCTTGAGAGAGGTATACTAAGCTTAACCGAAATACACAATGAGTGGCCTCTAAATCTTAATATTACGGGCTGCGCTTTAGACAGGCGTCTTTTTTCACTGTGCCGAAAATATTTTAAAAGGGATTTTAGAAACAAAAAAAAATTATATTTTTTTGAACCAGTCCAATGTACATCCATATGTATGTATGTAGTTGTATAGAAGTTTAGTATTTAGACGAAGTATATAAATAACAAATTTTTGCCTATATATTTGAAATGAAGTTAATCTAAGTGAAATGTAAACGAATGTCGGCTTAGGTTATTTATGTATAGAGGTTTATCCGTAGAATTATGTATGTATGTGGAGGGTCCCCCAAGAAAATCCACCAGCTCTGAACAGCTGCGTTTCTAGTCAATTTAAACCCAACTTTATATACGTATAGTTGGCTATTCTCATATTTGTTTATACTGGTTTACAGCAAAAATGGTCTCTGGATGTCCCTTTCCAATTCCTTTGTAGAAGCGCCCGTAGAGAAATGAACTAATCATTTGATGAAAAAAATTCCAAACGAATTATTTGTCAATTTTTCTATTTTGGATGAAAGCCTGTTCCTTTACACAACATCGATGAATAAGTCAAAAAGGAATGAGTGATCAATTGAAAATGTGCACATGGCGGAATTATACCACGTGAAGTAATTAGATCGAGAAGAAAGATTTTGACACTGCCCTATTTGAAAAATTGCCTTTAAGATTTGATTATATGACAGCCGAATGTAAGAAAATAAAGCGAAAAAGCCGTTTTATTACTTCACCTGTTTATTGCGGCATGATTGATGCGCAAAGATTTTTTGTATGAAGAATGAGCAGGAAAGAATGTTACTCATACGCCATTAACACATATACAAAGTTTGAGTTTTTTTTTAATTTTTTCACCAAGAAACAAAAAAATTTGAATGATTAATTAATTTCTGTGATGAAATTGTGATGTACATATTTACAGTTTATTTTAGCAACTTTCATTTACCACATCTCGTATTAAGGTTGTTCAATTGGTTCGTAAGATATACATACGTCATAAAGAGGAATCTCTTTTTTTTAGATGAATAACGGTAAATTGCAAATATCTCAAAAACTTATTCATAGAAAAAAATTAATAAACTTGATTTTCGAAATTAGCGGGCGATTCTACATAAGAATTGGATAGGGGCATCCGTGGAGCAAAAAAAAAATCATCAAATATTTGCGATGCAGTGTTATCGGAGCTAGTATTATCTCTTTTTATAAGTATATCCTAGGTTATATTATTCCGATGTCAGCAAAATCAGCCAGTAGGGTAGTTCGTGGGCGTGAAATTTATGTGCTCAGAAGTTCGATTTTTAACCGAATAAAAATCTTACGTAAAATTTTGTTTTTCCAATTCAACAGCATAATAAAAAAGAAGGTAGTTTCAATAAACAACTTGACGGATACTGGGATTTTGAAGGTTCATAATTCCATGTTGCTTGCAGCGTTATATTTAAAAATTAATTAGTCTAGTACATGAAATACACACGTATGTATTGAAAATATGTACATACATAAAAAGAATGCAATTTTATTTCGAAATACAACGGGTAATGGCATATGCATGTACTTGCGTTTATGGCATTTCTCACCGCTACCCCAAAACTGAAAATTAATCTACATACATACATATATGTGTATGAATGTATGTATGTTGCTCTAACATTATTAAATGTTTTTATTTAATAAATTCACCGAACCCATCAAAACATAAACAATTATAATTGAAAGCCATTAAAGTAATACCCATCCAAAGCTCAATGTACTCATCCCAGTATTCTTCGTTTCCGAAGCGTTCCCCAAGTTGGAGGCTGCTAGCAAAATTCATTCCTTTTCTATATTTTGACCAACACAGTTTTTCATTACCTCACATTTTGCGGCACTGCACTTTTAGAGAGTGTGGTCTTGTTATGGCTAATGCTAATATCCGTGATAGAAAAATGTTGAGAACATACATACGGATATTTTAGAAGGCTTTCCTCGCTTAACAAAAGTTTTTATAGGCATATTATTTTTAACTAAATATAAGTATGACTGTTTGTTAAATAATCTAAAATGCTAAATCATATTTCGCTATTTCGTTTGGCACACCTATTGCAAAGTCATTGTTTATTAAAAACACCACTTAATTGTATAATACAAATTAAATAATAAATACATTAAATGATTGTAAATAATATTTGCATTTTGTCTGTATTATCTAAAAAATAAATATATAACAAATAAATTATTTCAAACTGAATCTACAATGTCTGCATAATATGTTCTCTCTAATATCTTTATGCGTTAGGAATGTGATGCTTCGCTCAAGCATAAAACGGAAATGATTACAAAGTTAGAGAGTCAAAAAGAAGATATGGCCAGCACTATTACACAGCTGGAGAAAAAGTAAGCTATGTAGTTAAAATTAATAAATTTTTACGGCGAAAGTGTGAAATTGTGAGCGTCGAGACTGTAAAATTATAAACTTATAGAGGAAAATTAGTAGTTATGAATAACACCCGTTTGTGCAGAGGAGAGTTGACTAAGATTCGTTACCGTAAATTGTTGCCTTCTCAGTGCCCCTACGCACAAATACTAAGGAGAGGGCAATGAAAAGGCAAAATTTTTTGTAGAAAAGAAAACGCAATTAATTGCCGAATGTAGGTAAACTCTCCACTGTAAAAAGCGCCTAAGAATAAAATTCAAAGTTCAGGAGACATCGCATATGTATGCATTAACTAATTAGCACCCAAATTTGTGAAAGCCAATCGGAGTAGTATCCGAAAATATTCCGATCCACGCGTTTTATCAAACCTGTTTGCTGCTTTGTGGGAAACCGTTGGTAAATGGTTGAATTTAGGATTCAATTGATACCATAAATGTATACGAGGGTCACTAAAAAGTTCTGGGAATACCTAAGAAAAAAAGTTTCTTATCGGTAAGTAGGGTATTATTGGTTTTCAAGATATTCTGCAGCTTGATTTATACTGTTTTGCTTACGCTCAAACCAATCGGTGAAACATTTTTGCGCAGTCAATACCTCAAAAACATAGATTTTGAACGCGTTAACCATTTCTCCTGGGGAAGAAAACCGCGATCTACTATCCTTGATGTACGGGAAGAATAAAAAAATTGTAGTTTTTCGTTGTTTTCCTCCATTCGTCCAAAGCTGTTGCTAAAGGAAATGGTTGTGTACCACTCAGAATCAACTGTTCCATGCTTCTCAAGTGCCAACTTAGCCACATGACCC